TAATTGATGACACTGGATTAAAAACTACAGAGGAACTGTAATTGGTTTGGACCGTGCCATAAATTCTCTCTCTCATTTTTTTGGTGAAGTGTGAGAATCCAAAATAAACCCAGGCATCCTGGATGATCTGTAAAGTTCTCCTTAGCAAGACTGATCTTTGATCTACTTTTTATGGAGATCATGAAGATTTCTTACTCTGATGACTAGTGGGATATTTTTTTTTTTTCCTGGATACAATGAATATGATTTCTGTTCCCATACTGCACAGGTAAAATCCTTTAAATTCTCCCTCCAGAGACCAATATGGTTATGGAAAAGAATACTGCCTGCTACCATAATGGCATGGGAGAGAAACTAAAACAGGTGGATGCCCCACAGCAGTGCTCATAGCAAAGCAACTAAGAATAGTAATAGTGGAGCAGCACATCTGCTGTTGACTTTGCTGTAACATAACCTTTCTAACGCTATCTTCAAATCTACACTCGTGCCTAGTTACCCTGTAACTTAGTTTGCATCCTTCTCTTTTTTTTTCCCTTTGCTTCATGAGATAGGCTTCTTCCTGAAGTATAATTGTGGTATCAGCCTAAAGGGCTGAAACTGCCTCTCGAAGTGCAGTAGGCAGTATGTCTATCTGATTGATCATCACAAAGCAGAGTGGCAGCGGGAGGCAAAGTCATCGGCACTGAATGTTCTAAGAAGGCCTTTTTTTGTACTGAGATTAAGCCATCATGAAATATTTACACTCACTTCTGCATGCGCTTTATTGTCTGTTGGATATGTGCTTAGAAAGAGTTTGCTTAACCAATATAATACTGCCATCAGTGTTATGATGCAGAAGCTAGTGAGTTTATGCCAACAGTTAATTTTTGTTCTTAAATAAAGCTTTTTACACTTACGCCTTGTCATCATCTTTGTGTGCATTATTTCTATACAACCGTATCATATATATTTACATGATCTGGCTGTACTTATTGCATGCAGTTCTATTCATTTGATGCAATATAATTCACTTTGAAACCCTCAGTACATAAAATAAAGTAGTAATAATGATATTATGTGGGACTTTTCCAATTGATTCATCTTTTCAATGAAATGTAAAAGAAGTCTTCTACTACAAATTACTATAAACGGAAGAAAATGTCCTAAAATACAGATACATGAAGAGTTTCCTCAAACCGTGTCCTTTCGCAAGCTGAGAGCACAACCTGCCTAATTTGCCACTGCAAACACTGGCCACTGCAGAAAGTGCAGAATGGTTTTGCAATAATTATTTTGTACTTCAACATGAATTAGATGTAAGGGTCAAAGAAATTAACACTAGAATACCATTTAATCTAGGGCATTAATCATTGTTAACTCATCTAATTTTACAATTAAACTGAATATTCAATCTGTCAACCCTTCAGAGTATCCAATCTTTTCGTTCAATCTTAGCATTTTTTTGTTTTTATTTAGAGAAAAGTTTATTATCAGGAAGCATGTCACTGAACTGTTAATGCAATCAATTCCTTTTAATTTTCAAACCATTCTTGTGCTTTACTTTACAAAGTACAAAATTAGATACGATTAGATAATTATTATAGTTTGGTTAGACTGTACGCAATTCGCGGTGCTACCAGGAACGTGAAACAATGTTACTCTGCAAAACATTATCTTCGGGTCTAAAAACAAGCTAGAGACACGGCAAATAAAGAAGACTGAAGAACGATAAGGCACAAAGCCTTTATCTCTGTATTGCTGGTTCCATTTCGGCTGATATTAACAGCAGCTGAATAATTATCACAAGGATACGCAGCGGCTGACTGCAAGTGAATGAACGTGCGGTCTCACAAAATTTCCAGCTACAGCAGTTCCTGTGCTAAGGCTGCTGCTGTGTATGACACCAACCTGAATGGCCAGAGGACAGAAGTACGGCGTAGCCAGGACCCTAGTACACCTTGCTGTACCTAGCAGGGTTCTGTTTCTGATCAGCGATGAAATGAGACAGCCAGGTAATGCGAAGTCTGTTCACCGATGCCCTCCAGGAGAAAAAGAAATCCACTCCCTTGGGCTGAAACTTCACAAAATGTAAACTACCCAGAGAAAAGATTTCTGCTAAACTGGCAGCACCTCCCAGCATGCAGCCCGGCATACCAGGCTGAGGCTAATGACACCATGGTTTGCAGAGGACTAACTGATGAAGAAAAAATAAAGATTTTTCACATTGGTATGATAAACACTATCATGCGTATACTTTTCCACAAAACCAGCATACAACCTTTGCACTACTGGAAAGCAACCACAATTAATGAGTCGTAGAAATGCCTGTTAAAGTTGGTCTTGTAAGCAGGTAAGCGTAATTTCAAGAAGTGTGTAACCACATTTTATTTTGAAGGACAGTTTCTGAACGTGGAAGTGTACAACAGACCAGAGTACCTGACCTCCCAGCAGAGCAAGCCTCCCTAGTGGTTGAAAAATAAAAGGACTATTTGTAAACATCAAAGGTTGAAATCAATTGTATCAAAATACAGAGAGTAAGTAAGAATTGTTTCTACCTTGCCCCAGGAGGTTATAGAAGGATGCAAAGTATAAAATACTATATTTTTAAATAAGAAGATTGTATAACTTGTGCAGGCGAGGGGAGACTGCCACTAAATACAAGCCTTTCGTGTTGATTCTTTTCACCAGTAATGCCATTAATATCTTTTGAAGGAAGTTCCCAGTCTTCCTTCTACCATTTGTGTATTTTTTGAGTGATATCAAGGCTGACAGATGAGTATTTATTGTTGGCAAATCCAACAAACTTCAGCAAAACAATAAACTTCAACAAAAAGCTCACATGAATGCTGCGCTTGGGTTATGTTTAGCAATTATTAATAACCTATTATGTTTAAGAAATGCTGTTTCTAGTTCAAGAAATGTTAAATATAGGAAAAGATCCAGCAGCTGAGACTGTCAGCTGGCTCACTACTGGAAATTACTATTCTGAAGAGTTCAGACATCATTAAAGGTGAGAATAATACAACACAGTCATGTTCCTTTCCCTTTCTTTTTCTCCTGTCCTCTATATTAAATCAGAAATCAGAGAAGGATATGACCTCACAGGCAACCTACTTTCCTCTTCTGCCAATGCAGACTCATTCTGTATGATACTATCCATTTCTGAGAGCTTTTCAAAGCCTGTCTTTAAAATATTCTGATGGTTTTTCCTTTGTTAATTTTGATATATTATTTTACAGTCTAACAGCTCCCTGTTAGTAAGGTTTTCCTGATAGTCAGCCTGAAGCTCTCTCTCATAATTCATTCCCTTAACTGTAAATTTCTTTATTCAGATTCAGTTCTATTTATGCCACACCAGACTGCACCATTCTTCTGTTATTATAATGTTATGTTTTGAGCTAAAGTCTAATTTTTTTCTTTCAATTATTTCTCTTACTGAAAGGCAAAATCTTATACTGAAGTGAATACCTACAGTACAAATTATTTTTGCCCCAAAATATGTTTGCAAATTTCTGAGGTTTATCTTATTTTATTTTCTGTGTGTTTTCAAAAGCCTTCATAAAAAAGAAACACTGTCTTTTTGTTTTCCTTGATACTTATACTGCCTACTTATTCATTACTACCCCTGAAGTTTATTAAGGATGCTTGCTTTCTCTTCCAGAGTAGTGAAGATATTAAGAAAATACACAACTCTACACTATGCAAAAAATACTGTAATAGGACAATCTGTCCTCTTCATACTTTTAATACCTTGAGTTTACTTGGCGTATTCTTCCTCTCCCTGTAACCCATTCCTGTCAAAACTATTTAAATAAGTTTTGTAGAATTACATTTATCTTCCTAATATATGTTATTTGTAAGTCTGGGACTACTACTTAGTCTTAGTTCAACTCTTCTCTTGAGGGTATGCTATGTCTCAGCATTTTTCCATTTTACTATAACATCAAATTAGACTTTAATGTTAAGTATTGCAGTTATGGCCTGACATTTACACAGTCACCTTTTCCCTCCCTTTATAAATTTTCTATTGAGTTGTTAAATGTAATTCACAGTTACACTTGGAAATTCATGCCTATAAATGAAACCTTTTTTTTTTTATTTAAGGCAAAGCCAACCTTATTTTAAATCATTGCGAAAAGTAAAAAAAAAATTAAAAGCATCATTTTTCTGTCACTGTAACTGCACATATAGCTTGCTAACTCTTTAAGGAATGATCAAAATGAATCAAATGTCCAGAATTTCAGATGATGAAGGCAAACTTCTTCCTCAAAACCACAGTCAATTCACAGTTACTCATGGTTCATCCAAGTTGCACGCTCTGTATTGACCGAGACTGACTATAGCAGCCGTAACTGGTTTGGATGCAATGCTGTGCAAACACGTGGACAAGGCCATACCCAAAGTCGCACCTGGCCCAATAAGGCCCCCTGGAATGGGGGCACACAATACATGACCAGCTGAATGGATCTGAGCCAGCTTAATGGAAAAAGGACTACCTGGGCTGACTCCGCATACCGACACTTCATTATCTCCATGCCTTAATTTTTAACGTGCTCCACCACACCTGTATTACCAGTATCCAAAACCCCATTATTGCAATAGGGGAAAGTTCACTGATACTGAATTGGTGATAAAATTAAGTAAATAAACCAATCAATGCTAATAATTTTCCCCTTCCCCCCTTCTTTGTGTCCTATTATCCCATGTCTTCTTATAGGAAAACCACAGGTAGAATATGTACTCGATTCAGTATGTACTCCATCACTGCAACTGGGAGTCTTCGTCAAGTTCTCTAATATGTAGCTGAATGGACTTTATCTGCACTGGGAATGCCACTGTCACAAATGCAACAGTGGGGTGTCATTTACTGTAATGTTGCCAATTGAGTAAATTCTCAGACATAAGCAGTACTTCTCTTTTCAGCCCCGTTCCTCTAATCCTAAATTTAAGGAAAAAAAGTCCTAATATAATGAAATAAAAATAGAAGGAATTAAATTAAATAATGCTTTGCAAACACTTACAGTCCATAAATCTGTGGAGCAATTTCCAGACGGTTCAGATGCATGTACAGCTCAATATCATGTTTCTTCAGCAGATGATCCTGAATTTGGTTTACCTTCGCTACAATAGCAATAGATGGGCCTAAGTCCTGTGGCCTTGCAAATGGCATAGGTGTAATCATCATATCTTTCTCCTGCAGACACAGAAAACGGGGAAAAAAAAAGAACATCCCATGAAGCCTTACTGTCTAAAGGGATTGTCTACAAGAGATTTGTTTTGTTGTAATCATTGGCTTCCAAATAAACATAAAAATATTAATAACTCGTTTCTTTTCCAGGAAAAGAGGAATCTCAAGTATCCACTTCTGTGGAAGGTATTGTGGGATTCCCCTTCCCAGGCGTGCCAAGGTTCATTGCCTCGTTCTGCACATCAATTTTTACGTGCGTGCTTTACTTTTCATGCTCTGACAAAGTGTTGACAGCTTTATTTTAGCTTTAATATCAGCAGACTGAGTCAGTCCAGAGCAAAGCAGATGAATGGTAACTTAGTAGAGAATATATGCCCTCAGAGGACAATAAATTGCATACCAAATAGGAAATAACTTATTTTCAAACAATCCGTTCTAAACAGGCTTCCCTTGCTCAGAAAAGCTGGTGGCTGTACTTTGAAATCTACACAATTTTGATAAAGCATCAGAAAACTGTTAAAGTAAAAAAGAAATAGAACAGTGAGATGAACCTCATGGTTAGAAGGTAGTTGGTTGGACCTAAAGGTTGTGCAAAACTATGTCATGATCTAGAACATGGCATACACCAAGTGAAAACAGAGGAGGAAAACTACTAGAGTATTAGCATCCCTGAACCTGATACTGCTTTAAATTTGTTCTTCTTGCAAAAGAGTGAAGTACTATTGAAAAAGAGACAGAATGCTAGAAAGAAATGCAGCAAGTAATGAACCCCACTGAATAGGAAACATGTAAAAAGGAGGATGAGAAATAAAAAAGAACAAGTCAAACCTATCGAGAGAAAGACTGGGGAAAGGGAAAGGGAGAATTAAGCTGCCAGGAACAATATTAAAGTTATAAAAGAGGGAAAATTGGAACAGTTAGAAGACAAGATTTTGCAATGACTTTGATTGCAATCTGTCATCATGGCTCTCTGACCTGAAAGCTTCACTTTAAAAAATAGTTATTGTTTTTCTACCCTTTTGCTCGATATATTGATAGAGAAGCATTATCAAGGTCAAAGGGTTAATGCTTTCAGAAGACTTCATTACAGCTTAAACTGTTGAAAGACAAATTCACTGGGTTCAATACAGTGAAAAGCACATTATTTTTAACTTTCAATAACAAAGAAAGTTTTTTTTGTTGTATAAACTATCCCCAAGGTTGTTTCCTATGATTATAGTCCCTCTTCAACTCCATTCTTTCTGTATCAGCATTTTAAGAGGAAGGAAGAGAAGCACCCATATTTCACAGTCATTTACAACATGGTTTAACATTCAGCGAACATCTAATAATTTCTACAAAAAAGGCTATTTTCTATGTTGACCTCCTTTGCTTGAAATATTTTTTCTTAATTATTCAGTTTCTGTACTGCAGAAAATATTGTATGATGCTGAGCAGTGATTTCAGGTAGAATGTTTCTGTTTGAGGATCTGATCGATTATAAATTGTATCTTAAAATCTGCTTAATTGTTGCTTTGCTATGGCAATTGCAGCAAAGGGACTGATCTGTCTATTACAGTGCGGTGATTTTGCCATGCTATTGTGGTACCCAGACATATTCATTTACGATGCCCTAACAAATCTCTTGACAAAAGCTCCCTCAGACTGTCCAATAAAGCTCACTGAAATGACATCCTTTCATTCAAAATCTTTTCTGTTCTACCAAACAGAAATTTTAAATAAAACATCTAGCATTTTACGGCCTAATAAGAAATGTTGCTACTTACTTAAATACTAAAGTTCTTCACAGCTGCAGGTACGCTGAGAAAGGATATTTCTCCTACCTCCTTTTTTAATTATTCTATTAACTTCTTTATTACCAAATCGGACAGCCTTCTTTTCACCCTGATTTTTGTTTCTCCATTGTATGGCTATTTCTTATTGTTGTTTCAGACCCATTTCATTATTTTCTTGGTCACACGCTAGAATGCAAAATACTGAAAAAGGGTATCCACTAATCTCCTTCTAATCTACATAGAAAAACACTCTTAAAGTATGATATGATAACATTGCCTTAACGTTAAATGCCAGTCTATAGTAATTTTTTGTATAAACATATCAATTCATTTTTGAAACTAATCACAGAAGTCTGTAACTGTACGTATTCATAGACTGTGCATGTTCCATCAGTTGGCACATATCTGGGGTACGAACTTTACTGTGGTTTATTCAACTTGAGTTTAACTTCAGCTTGACTGCTGCATCCACTCATAACCCTGATGACTCAAAAGATCTGTATTTTTAAGCTTTTCTCGCTTGGAGGCATAGATTCTTGTATAGCAATCTCAACATTAGAATCTTTCTACTTAGTTGAACTTGTAATATGAGAAGACTAGCTAGTTACCCAGATTAGCCTTTACATGATTAGTTGTCTGTGGGTTTAAAGCCATCTTTACAGAATTAGAATATAGACTCTTATAAACACTGGCTCAAGCGTCAAAAGATTCCGAATATCAAAACTAACGCAAGCTTCCTCTTACGGAGGAGTGCCAAAACTGGAGTTACTTGTCACTTGCAGCATTTGTGCACCTTGGCATAATGCAGCACAGACACATTGCTGACTGTCAGACTGACTGACTATCAACATGGCTAAGTGCATCAAATAATATATGCTGGCTTGCCATTTTTAAAAGCATGAGATAAGTAAGTGGTATCCATCAAAATGCAGTTCATCAGCATCTCAGAAATTAACCCCATTGACAGAAATCTTCAAAGCATGACAGAATCTGTGGGGACGGCAGTTGCAGTCAGTAATCAGTGCCTTGACTGTCCATGCCTCCTGATTTGGTGCACTCCACCAAGAAGCTTAGCGGATGACTAGAGTGCATATGATATGCCTGTTGTCTCCTCTCACGCAATTTAGTTGAGAAAATGACAATACGTTTAGTCAGTTGAAATAGCTCCAAAACATCACATCAGCTGGTGTGAAAGAAACAGCCCAAACAGAAAGATGCTCAAATAAACTAATACAACCGAGCCGCCAAAATGTTTAACTAGAAATGACTCACAATGCCTGTGCCTAAAGCACAGAAGCCAAGTGGACAGCATGATACTGTGCCCCTGCCCATACTCACTATATATTAAGCTGCCTCATGAGACAAAACATCCGTTTTCTTTTTGTGAGCTTCTAAGTCTTGGGAAACATTTGAGTGCATGGGTTTAGTCATCTACTGCTAACATGAAATATAACTGATCAATCCCAAAGGGATGCGGTTCACAATAAAAAGACAAAAAGAGGGACAGCCCAGGGATGTGCTATACTGTTCACAGGAGAGCATCAGGTTCATCTCTAAGAACAGTTTAAATATGGATATCAGCGAAACGCAGCTGAAAAATTCAGATCAAGTATTAGGAACAGAGTCACCAAATCCTGCCACAAAACATTACCTACCACAACACGAACTGGAATGGCTGGCGGTCGATACTAATACAATTTATATATTCATGCATTTAGGAAACAAATGCTACAGCAGTAAAGAGAGGCTAGGACATAGCACAAGTATAAACCGTGGACAGATTTCTCTCATTAACCACTAGGGAATGGAGTAGCTGGAGAATCTCCTCAAATGGCAATTGGGAGTAATGGAACCAACTGTTAGAGGCTATAAAATGTAACATGTCTCTCAGAGCACATGCTTTCATTGCTTGCTTTGTGAAGATTCAGACTTTATTACGTAGCTAACCCTCAAAGTCATGACTGTAAAAGGCATACGTACAAGAAAGGATTATTAAAGATTATGCATGTTTGCAAAGAACAAGAACAAACAACTAGATACTAATCCATGCGCTTTGCATTGTTAATTTTTTATGCCATGAAAGGACTGGAAAGGGCAATGTTAACTTTCACCTTCTACCCAAGCACTGCAAATCTGTAAGCAGACCTAGTTATTTCCCAGAATAAAATTCAACCTCAAACTTTACCACCTCTGTTACAGAAATTGGAACAAATACATCTGAATACACTGAATTCTGAAAAGCTGCACTCAGAGAAACATGTCTCACAGCTTTGTTGTTGGAATAAAAGTGACTATGTAATAAGTTCATAAAATTTGTATCTCATACGCTTTATCCTTAGTTACTGAGAATTATGTAAAAACCCAAATCCAAATAGTAATTTATAACTGTAAATAGCTTAGGCCAAGATGCTCCATGCCTAATAAAATATACACACAGATATGTTTAAACATTTAAAGAAAATAGAAGCTTTTATGTGAGTCTTGGGTGAACATCTTTTTCTTCAACAGACAGGCAAAACCACCTCTCAAACTAGTACTCCCTAATTACAGTTTGCAAATACAGGTTTTGGTGCACACCTGTGGACATCCAAACCCAACCAAATTCTTATTAATTTTTTGTTAACTCTAGATACTCATGCCATGCTCTATGTGAAAAATGCTGAAGTGAATCAAGCTGGAACTAAGTTTGGAGGACAACTCTTTTAGGATATATTACACTAGAAGTCTTGGCAATACCCGTAATGTGGCTATGTTTTGCTAGAGCCTTCTACATACACTCCATCCCACAAATAATTTTTCAGAATTAAAAAGAGAGAAATGTAAACAAGGAAAGAGACAGGAAAAAAGTATTCAAAGGAAATCTTGAGCAATTGACTGAGGGAATTGTCCCTCATGCCAGGCATGAAAAACAGTTACAGGCAAGGACTAGATGGTCCCTAGAAGGTCACTGCAAAGAAGTGTTAGGTAGAACTAAACTCAGAACACAGAAAAAGCTTTTCTATGAAAAGAAGCAACATACTAAATACAGTGGTGTCTGTATAGCTACAGAGGAGATATGAGGGCATGGACATTCCCTCTGTTTGAATACCCTGAGGTCAAGAAGAAAAAAAGTAAGAAAATGGAGTGACGAAGTCAGGGAAAGATGCACCCTGACCTTTGATGGACAGTCTATGATTAAAGTTTCGGTTTCACAGCAAATTGTTTATGTTGTAAACAGCTGAAAACAATTCAAGCCTCAATACGTTAAACACTGCCTATATATATTTACTTAACATGATATTTGCACAGGTTTTGGGCACGTAGATGTGCCTATGACAGGCATTCTTCTGAATGCTACACAAGAACATCATTCATACATAGGAGAAGCTGTGTTTGCACATTTGGCTTTTGATTACCAAGTGATCTTTCAACAGATAGGAACTCTCAGCTGGAAGACTTTCCACAAGTGCTTATGACCAAATTCTGAAGAACCTCTAAAGAATATGAACTTGGTTGAATGTGGTTTAACCAAGTTGTTTAAGAGAAGATGCCTTATTAGCTTCAAATTACTTCAATCATATTAAAAATCACATTAGCTTAAAAATACAATAAATACATTTTAAAGCAATATTTACCTTCTGACTGTCGTGTTCAAAAGTTGAAAACCAATGTTCTGCAGTTTTCATAAGACGTGTGAACATTGCACTGAAGGGGAAAAACCCAGAAACTTGGTGTTAATAATGTATTACAAATAAAAGCAAATTAAATGTAAAGGAAGTTGTTAAAACTTACTAGGCATCATGTTCCAGATATTCAGGATTCAAAAGAACTTTCATTTCCTCGCTGAAAAAGGCAACAGTGAACAATCCAAATGTGAATGTTTATTTTTGGTCAGCGTTCTGCATGTACTATTATGTATTTACAAGCCAACTTTCATATAAAGTGCAAATGAGAAAACTAGCCTTTTTAATTAAAAAGAGCAACTCCATTGAACAAATGAAGTCTTTCCTTTTTATAAAGATCAAAAACAAATTAGCTGCCTTGTCTGCACTACAATGAAGTAACCATCTAATTATTCCAAATAACAAATTACTGAATGTCACAATGTATTATTTGAATATGCTTGATCTAGAATAATTGATTGCTGCACAATCTATCACTGTTTGTCCCAAACAAAAAAAATATGGTTACTGGTCAAATATGCAGTATCAAAACATTAATTTATTTTGGTTTAATAGCCTGTATTTTTATTGTACTTTAACAACAATTAATCAGTGACAGCACCTCTTTTCCATCTACTTTGCTGCTTAGCTCTACTTTTTCAGTGGGGATGAACAGAATGCTGTGCATAACACATGGTTATTTTAAGTTAGCACTGAAGAGCATCTTCTAGGTAATTTCATGATATCTAAGGACAGACATTGAATAAAAACACACACTTGTAAATAATCTACATCCTTATGCTTAACTGCCTTTGGACAATCACATTGAGGGGTGCTAACAGAGGTTATATTATATATATAATATATATAATATATATTATATTATATAGTACACATAATTAAATTGGCTTTTATTCACTGCTGGAAAAGAGAGTGCAAAAAGACAAATGGAAAGAAATGACCTAAATATCACAAGTGATACAAGAAGGCAACTAGTATCTTTTAAAAAAAAAAAAAAAGCTTTACATATAGGGCAAGGAAAAAAGCATCTGAATTTGGTTGACAGACAATCATGTGTGACATAATATTTTATACCTATGTGTATGATTACATGCACACACACACACAGTTTGAGCGAAATGGAGAATCAATAGCTGAACTTAATGTTACTACGAAGTCAAAGGATAGTCAGATATTGCAGCTACAACATTGCAGGTGACGAAAGAAATATAAATCACAACAATTTGTCTACATGGAATTTTTTCTCTTTTAAGATATGAGGAAAGAGAGTTGGTAACATGTCCATTCTATGTAGTTCTCTAATCTGCCTCCTCTCTGCAATGACAAAAACTAAACCATTTCTGGCAATAAGACTAGGGTGAAACAGTAGGTAGGTATGTAAGCTTTTTGATTAAGGTTTTCCTTAGGTTTCTTGTCTCCCCTTTTTTTGCCAGCTAATACCTGTGAAGGGGGCAATGTCTACACATTTAAGCCCCCTTTCAGAAGCTGTAGTAGAGAAGATGAAATAAGGACACTCCCATCAAAGCACGAGGATGCAACAATTTCTGATATCAATTTATCAATTATAAATAAAGAATTAAGGAACACATATTTATAAGTTCTAGTCCAGCCAACTTACTTATTTTTTTAAGAAAGTGGATTTTTAATACTATACAAATAAAACACAATGCTTGCCTTGGTTGTGCAGCTTCACTGGCATGTGAAAAAGCTTGGTGGTCACAATGCAGGATAAAGACAATGGGAGCTAAAAGTTCATGCATACCCTAAACATAGAAAGAAGCAAAAGTATAGTAAGATTTTCCAGTCATATAATAGTTCCTAATGCATAGCATCAGGCAGCCAGCAATATTAGGTGCAGACTAACTAAAAGCATGAACATTTACATTCGTAACAGAACGGTTTCATAATCAATGGCTTTTATCTTAAATTCTGATTAAATCGAAGTGTTTATTCTTCTATAATATACAGAAGCAAGTTATTCTCCCTTTTTCTGACATAACAGACAACAAATTGGCAATGGTAGGCAACCCTGCACCTGGCAGTTTACTCCAAGATCTATGTTCATAAATATGAATTTTATTTATGATAATTACAATCATGATCCACAGTACAAAGATCTGCAATAGGGAGAAATTACAAAATTTAAAATTATTTTTTATTTGATAATGTTCCAAAATCATAGATAAAAGCATAACAGTAACCTTCAGAGGAGACAAGAGCAGCTATTTGGGAAATTAGAACATGAAGCTTCCATTCCTACAGACATGAGAAATAAAATGAGGGTTTTTTCTGTTTTTTTTTTTTTTTAAATTGTTATGTCAATATTAAAAATAAACTCATTATAACACAATGCATAGGACACCTAGTACTGTTCCATTACAGACTATTACTTACATATGCAATCTATATTAAGATACAGAAAAAATACAGAAACATGCAGGAATCAGAACAGAAAAAATTGGTGGATAGTCAAGGACTTGGGCAAGCATTAGAAGCATGGCTGGGCCACCCAGGCCAGCCATTGGTGCTTTTACACGGAGCTCACCAGGAACAAAAAAGGAGTCTTGATTTGCCTTGATTCACCTGGGGCTTGTCAATTTGTTATCAGGAGCAGAAGCAACCGCTTCAGGAAACAGGCAATCCAGTTGGCAAGCAGCAATGCACTGGCAGGTAAAACTATAGCCTGCAGAATGAAACCTCATCTTTAGCAGACATTCATCCCCTTCCCTCAGCTTAGATCAGAGAAAGGGAGGATTTGGGGTATCATAACTGGGGAATTTGGTTATGTCAGGGGAGTTGGGCTCCCAGTGGTAGACTAGGACGGCAGGTAGGAACTACGCAAGCTACAGGTTGGGCTGGGGGTCAGCCATACAAAAGAAGTGTGGGGAGCCCTTCGGTGATGGAGGGGATGTGGGATGAAAGGTTGAGACCTGTCTGGCTGCCTCTGGACGCAGGGATCACTCCAAGGGGAAGGAACTCCTGACCTCAGTCCAAAAACACCAACTACAGCCAGGGCTTGCTGCCAGGTGCCCAGGCTACCCCTGCTGGGTCTCGCTCTGGGTGGAGTCCTTGCCCGGCTGTAGGAGGGAGAGTGTGCTGCCAGCAGTGCTCCAGTTCAAAGGTGCAACTACTTCACCGAGTGGAGCCTCAGTCCCAGCTCCAGGTGAGTGCTCTGGGCAGACAGGGGTGCCAGGAAGACCATCTTGTCTATCCTGCTGGCAGAAAGAGCACTGGGGCTGGCCCGTCAAGCTCAAAGGCATTTTAGGCTGCTATCGGGAGTCAGATGATGGGTCCCCAGACAGGAGCTGTTCTACTTTTATGCTTGCAGTTCCAAGCTAGGAAGTCTCTCCACTTACTTTTCCAGCCCTTTCAGTGATGGACAGACATGAGCAATGAAAGAGTTACACACTTGTGCAGCTACCCTGCTGCTTTGCTTGTGTATCAGTTGATATTCTATGTAGCATTTGAGGAGTACTCAGTATCAGCTTCATATGTATCAAACAGATCCATTAACTACTAAAAACCTTTGATTTTTATTGGAAATAATGGGGATTTTCCTGAAGTGGGTCAAACTGAGCAGAGAGGTAGATGTGGAAACCCTCTCTAGATCATTATCTATTTTGAGTGTGCTTGGATGCATTTTAGTGAATCTTGTCTGTTCGTAAGAGGAAATTCCAACAGCTAGCAGCGTTGAAGAAAAAAAAAGAGATTTGGAAATTTCTCTGTGTGTTATCAACTGAAATCCTAGGAAATTTAATTTTAATTTCTTCAGGACTGAGATGGCTGTTATAGCCTCAACTGTAGGGTTGCAGCAATAGTGGTCAGTTGACTGGGCAAAGCTGAAGCCAGCAAAACTACTGAAGTTTGGACGTTTTCTTTCTCTTCCTATTTCTGAACCTTTAGGGTCTACTTCAAAAGATGAAGGCTAAGTAGAAATTCAGTTAAGGGAAAAAAAAAAAAGAATTAAACCCAATGTAGCCACTTGATTTCAGGAGCCGATGTAAAATTCCCAAACACAACACTATGGGTTAGATTACAAATTGACAACTTTAGATTTCTGAAAGTCTTATGGTCATACCAAGAGGGAAAGGAATAGGAGAGACAGAGAGATAGGTCCAGGGTTAGACAATACATATAAGTGGCAAAAATATTTAAATAAACTGGAGATAACCTGGGTTGTACTTTCATACATACTCACAGCCCTCGGTTAATTAACAGCTCCACATCTAATCTTTTATTCGTCCTGATATACTAACATGAAATAAGAGAAATGGAAATGCCAAAAACTTGACTACCTAATAAAACTACCACCTAAGCTGTAAACATATAAGCTGAAGAAAAAGAAAGAGGACATAAAATAAGAATTAGTTATAAAAGATAAAAGCACATCATACATTCTTCCAACATAATAATATATCAACTTTATTATAAAGTAGAATCATAATGTGGCTGCCCACATACAACAAAAACAAAACAAACAGATGATGAAATATCAGGATTTCAAAAAGATACCTCTGATCTTTCAGTTACAAGAGTACTTCAAATGTTTAGAGATTTTTAGCTTGGCAAGAAAAGCCACCAGTGTAATATGCATAGACATATTTTTTCAATGCTGCAGTTTACTAAAACTCTTTAGTGTTAATAAATAAGTTGACAGAGCTCAGATAATTTTATGACACTTCCCAGCTACAACAAAATATTGATTTCATAATACAGTCTATGGTTTAGAAAGAAAACCAGATATATAGCATTTCTATAACGAAAACTGGATCAATGCATTTCAAAATTACATTGACTTCTCTAAGGGCAATCAAATCATGAGTGAACAATAGTTAGCCTAGTGATTTAGCTTAATTGTCACTATTTCATTTCAGTGTAACTAGGACCAGAATTTTGGCACCAGTCTTACAGAAGAACGCTAAGAGTAATTTTTACATATTCTTAAGTACAATATACTATTCTCTTTAGATTTTATATTTACAGCTGCTATTTAAAAATTCAACAATCCCAGTGAGGATTCTGTCTTTAAAATCTGTAATACAGCTTCACAACATCCTACTCCATTTGACTAGGGGCAGGATATCTTTTTCCTCATCAAATAAAATGTTACTTCACACTGGTCAAAAAACCACAAACCCTACTACAAAGACAACTTTCATGCATATATGCATATTAAACAAATACTATTGATTGCTTCTTGTAAGACTATATGCTGATGCTATGCAATAGTTTCAATAAAATGTTGTAAACTTCAGATACACTTTATTTACATTTATAAGTATGCAAATTGTCAAGGAACTATAACTTTTTCCAAATATTTTGAAAGAGAAACATCGGGTCCTGTACAGATGCTGACAGACAGAAGTATAAGTTTTCATTTATTGGCCAAGTGTTAGAATTCTGTTAGCAAATATAGCTCTTGTATGTGGTCATACAAGTGAGAGAGGAATTCTCATGGAGAACAGGACCAGTCCCATGACGGATACTGAATATGAAGACAAACTCCTTAATTTAGGCTTTGTATTCAGGTCACTGTGGAGAGAGCAGCTTGGAGGTGATCTGTTATTGATGAATTAATGGTAACCTTCATTATTTTCAAGAACATATGCTAGGCTTTGATGTAGTGGAAATTATTATGGGAAGTGGGGCTTGAGTCAATGATAAAAACAGACCCAGTAAAAATAGTAGGACAGGAAGATTGACTGCAACATAGGTATTTGCTAAAAGAGGGAAAAAAACATATCCTGTCGCCACCACAAACTCTATTTCCTATTAGCTAATTCAGGAAGGGTACTGATGGACATGAAAGAAATGTTATCTAAAAAGAGAGGGACACAGGGACAAAAAAGCAGGATTGTTACTAATAAGCTAACAGGAGCATTAATTTAAAAACAAACAAACAAACAAAACAACCCTTTTAAAGTGGGGTAAGAAAAATGAAAAGCTCCTAATAAAAGTGACACATGTCCACAACAAGAGAGGAAAACCACAATCATTTGCTATTTTGTGGACTTGGCACAGCACCACGAGACTTGGGTGATACACTGAACACACTTCAGAGAGATTAAATCGAGAGTTTTTCATTATCCAAATTTATTTCATTTTCTGCACTTCACCTCTCCCCCTTAGTCCTGTGGCAACCCCTTCCCGGAATTACTGCACTACTAATGCACACCAGTTGAAAACAGAGGTGAAGAAGTTTTCTTTGTCAACAGCCTGTAGGCTCGCAAAATTGAACCTGTTCTTTTATCTGCCTATGTTCATTTAGCCCACCAAGCAGTCTTTATTAAAGCTGAGGCATCAGGCAGTCAAAGTTCATTAATACCATTTATATAATCTCTGCAGTTTCAATTAACTCAGCAAGACATTCTACTACATGATAACAGTCTCATTAATTCAATAAAATCCCATAACTATTAACAATATGGTCTATGTTAAACGGGGTGTCACCTAGTAGAAAATAATAGCTTTAACAGCTTGTGATGAAACTCAGGGCTTTTTTTTTTCTTTTTTAAATTTGATCTGGCTAAATATTCCATCCTTATGTAGAAAGGTATTATTTCTTGGTAAGGAATCAAGAGGATTTTAAATATGAGCAGAGGGTAATTAAGTCCTTTTAAGTCATATCAAAGAGTAAAATAATACTTCTTGTTCAATAAATGATAGACTACATTAGCTGGAATGTGTTCTTCCATTTTCCCATCATCAGTACTCTGTGCTATATTCACTACAAATGGGAGGCTGAATACTGCTGAAGTGTTTTCTTTAGCAGTGCCCTTCAAAATACAGCTCACAAATCTCCTTTTTTCTTTTTATCATGCAAGACTATTCCTTACTTATAGTCTGTCAAACATGAGAAATAGCCAGGTGATGAAGATTTAATATGTTTGGTAACTACATATTTTATTTTTGATATAATCTGTAAGACAGTTCTTCAGAAGTAACTGTTCCTTCAACTCATGTGTTGGTCTTTTCATGAAACACCACTAATTTCCTGGCTTGAGGACAGGGTGGTCACAGACTATGCCTGAAAGCATACAGTGTCTATGAAAAATCTTCACATTTACGGAACCTCTGTATTTCTGTAATGAATTTTTTTTGTCTATGTGAAGCTTGCTGCTCTACCGTTTATCCTTTGTCCACGCACATGATATCCCTCAGTCTGTCAGTCCCTACTCACCCTACAGTTAATAGCCTGGAGAAACAAATACAAATATACTTACGTAGATAACTCTGCGTATTGGTCTTGCTACATTAATTTAGTATCAAGCTTATACTCACTTCAAAACCTTCAGAACAAATGTTAAATTAATTTAGCCCGCATCCCATATGGATGCATAGTTAGTGCAGCTTTAAGGCTTTCTTTACCATTTTATCAAAAATGGTTTGAGCAGGCTCTCCATCAGGTAACACTGTAAAAGTGGTATTTGTAGCACCCTTATCCTTCAGTCAACAGGCATTTGTCAGCTGCATTGTATTTGGATGCTACAGGGTTAGATAAAGGATCTATTCGCTAATGTACCACATGGTTTTAGCACTTTGAGAAAGAACTTAAAATATTACATAAAACTTAAAATAGTAACTTTGCCCAAATTTCAGAAGTCACTATTTATGTTTTTTGTTTATTCAGTACCTTTTTTAATCCTACTGCATACTTTCTTTCTTTACGTAAGCACAGAAAACCTTTCTTTTTCTTTCTTAACCAACACTGAAGAAAAAGATGTTGTTTATTAAGAAATTTGAAGTTAGACAACTTAGCAACCTTAAAGAAAACAATTTGAGGGACTGTCTTATGAGGAAAAAGCATATGTTATTCAGTGAGCTTACTTTTCTTACTATCCAGCTGACAAGCAGCTCTGATTACTTTAGCATTATGATACAACTTCAGATACAACAGAACTACATTATTGTCAAACCGTATAGAAGATGTTGAGTCAATGAATGCCACCTGTACAGTATTTTCATTACCTGTTTATAAAGCAACTGCTCATTTTCTCTGGCATAGCAGAACAGAACATCTGTAAGAATTTTCCTCACATTCTCTTGCTGGAAATACTGCATTTCAGGGAAGCTGAAAATGAAGAAATACAGTGAAAGTAAACAATATAGCGCACAGAATCTCAGTTGCTGGCCTTCTAGAAACGCTTTTAGGTAAGACAGCACCTCCCTTGTCTGCTTTCCCACCGCTCTGGAATTGTGGGTGCTGCTAGAGTAAGAATACTTCTAAAGACTTGTTATATTTGGTTTGCAACCAAAATTCTGAACCATATTCTTTAATATACATCAGTCTGCTACATAGATATGATATCACCAGTTATATTTAAATAAGTAATCCCTTTTAACATTATGAAAACTAGAGATCTGCAAGAATGAAATACAACGGCAGATTGTTTTAATCGTCAACTTCTTACACACAGACAATCCACTGAAAATGAATGACTTGGAGAATCTAATCCAAATAAAATGATGTACCATATGAGTATGTTCCCAACTGCCTAAAGGATCAAGTTCCTTTCCTCCTCAATGTCATGAAAACAAGTTGAACTGAAGCAGAATGAAAGGAGATGGAATGAGAGGCAGTAACTGAAGCGAAGATCTACCCTCTCCCTGCTGCATGCAGACTCTTACTGTCAAACCTAGCAGCCCAGAAGACCGTTCTGGTGCCAGGTGGCACAGCATCCCAAAAGTAACTTAACTCCAAGACTGTGCTCCACTGATTGTCAGTCCTTCACCCATGAATCTAAAACTTGCTAGGAACGCTTAGAGAAGATGCGTGATCATAAACACCTAGCAGACACTTCTCCTCCCCTAATAAGAACAAGTCAGTTAAAACTAAAAATGTTGCAAACAGTTACCTATTGATTAATTTGATTCAGGTACTGGAAAAATAAGCACTGAAGATCAAATCTCCATAGATAAAAAACATTCTTTACATGACATGCTCCCATTTTTTTAATCTGTGTTAGGTTGGCAACTGTAACTGGATCATCAGTCTGCCCTGCAGTTTCACAAACAGTGCTTAGCCCCGCTCTTCATTTTTCTCAAGATGAAAGCTGGGCAAAGGAAGAGTACAAGAGCTACAATATGTTAAAGAATTTTGTAAAATTTCCAGTTCTAAACTGGAATAAAATGGGAGAAAAAAGAGTAGGTCAGAAGAAACATGTACACAAGAGTTCAATATTTCATGAACATTTGAAAAATGATTAGCATTTTAATGACAATATTATTAAAATATCTCACAACTGACAGGAAAACCAGTATCCCAATTTTCTTGAGCTCTAAGCAAGCTCCAGTATATCTTACTAGCATTTTTTGTGATGCAACAAAATTAGGTATTTCACTGTCTTTAGTAACTGTCTCAAATACACCTTAAAATTATGAAATCATTTGGTACTCTGGCAGGGCAAATATCCTTTTAAGTGAAATAGAATGAAGTGGAACTAGTGTGAGAATAAGGGAAAAAAGCTTCTGGGAAAATCCTGTTATCTGCGTATAATCCAGGAAAATGCAAGTATTTACAATCTGTAACTATTCTGAAGCAGCTCTCACCTGTGCATCCTGCTCCTCGACTGTTGGAAGTAGGAAATAAAGTGGTTATGCAGGATGCACTTTAATGAACAAACAAAAGTGTTTTCATGCTTACTGAAGTAACTAGATGGCAAAAAATTTCATAAAGCAACCACCCCAATCCACATCCAGCTATGTGGAGCAACAACAAATAAAATAAAAAAAATCTGGAAAGGTGTAATACCAAAAAGAAAGAAAAAGGTAAAGTTGCACAAAGAAAAACAGAGGAATACTTAAAAAGACAACAAGAGTAGGCCTCAGGCTTGATGATTGCTGAAATAAAGGCTATAATATTGTCAGTTTTAAAACGAAATCACATGGATTGCAGATAAGTTTTCTTCAAGCAAATTTTATTTTTCCTGCTTCCCAAGTCTGAGCTACAATGCTAAACTTTAGACCAGTTATATTAAGGCTGTCGTAAAGCCTGTCATGGAGAAACAATATAGGGAATTATAATAAACTACTTCAGATAAAACTATTAGACATGGTTTAGTGGGCCTGGTGGTGTTGGGTTGACGGTTGGACTCGATGATCTTGGAGGTCTCTTCCAAGAAACATGTACACAAGAGTTCAATATTTTATGAACATTTGAAAAATGATTAGCATTTTAATGACAATATTATTAAAATATCTCACAACTGACAGGAAAACCAATATCCTAATTTTCTTGAGCTCTAAGCAAGCTCCAGTATATCTTACTAGCATTTTTTGTGATGCAACAAAATTAGGTATTTCACTGTCTTTAGTAACTGTCTCAAATACACCTTAAAATTATGAAATCATTTGGTACTCTGGCAGGGCAAATATCCTTTTAAGTGAAATAGAATGCAGTGGAACTAGTGTGAGAATAAGGGAAAAAAGCTTCTGGGAAAATCCTGTTATCTGCGTATAATCCAGGAAAATGCAAGTATTTACAATCTGTAACTATTCTGAAGCAGCTCTCACCTGTGCATCCTGCTCCTCGACTGTTGGAAGTAGGAAATAAAGTGGTTATGCAGGATGCACTTTAATGAACAAACAAAAGTTTTTTCATGCTTACTGAAGTAACTAGATGGCAAAAAATTTCATAAAGCAACCACCCCAATCCACATCCAGCTATGTGGAGCAACAACAAATAAAATAAAAAAAATCTGGAAAGGTGTAATACCAAAAAGAAAGAAAAAGGTAAAGTTGCACAAAGAAAAACAGAGGAATACTTAAAAAGACAACAAGAGTAGGCCTCAGGCTTGATGATTGCTGAAATAAAGGCTATAATATTGTCAGTTTTAAAACGAAATCACATGGATTGCAGATAAGTTTTCTTCAAGCAAATTTTATTTTTCCTGCTTCCCAAGTCTGAGCTACAATGCTAAACTTTAGACCAGTTATATTAAGGCTGTCGTAAAGCCTGTCATGGAGAAACAATATAGGGAATTATAATAAACTACTTCAGATAAAACTATTAGTGTAAATCATTACTGTGGTCATCTCACAGAGGTGATGACAGGTAAGCACAGAAACATAACTAATTAAGGCCAGAAAGGTGCTTTGAAACCCTTCGATGAAGGACCTGAATCAAGAGACAAGGCAGACAAGACACCGTGGCTTAAACGCAGCAATGCTGAAGTCTTGAGAAAGGCACCGGGATGAGGGGTGTAACGTTTTCCTGGCACCTGGTGGGGGTAATGGTAGACCATCATTTGGAAGCTTGTATGCACTTGTACTAATCATATTACTGTAAAGGAAGGACACAGCTGAGACCAAAAGTGCATTACAGCAGATGGCAATCGACATAATTTAGGGGTTTGAAGAGATTATTTCTGAAGGACTGTTATTCAGGCCTGCCCTATGAAGTTTAGGAAGAGAAGACTAACAAAGAAAACTCAAAAATACACAGAGATATCTGTGAGGATCTAATAATGCCAGAGATTGTGACAGAAAGGATAATAACAAACTCAGGAATAAGCTGGCTGAAGTATTAATTATAGTAAATGTAAATACAAGAGATCATGAGGGAACTATCAGTTCAGGATGGATTTTTATGGAGAATGTCATTTTATGATTAAAGCACTGTTTTAGAAATACAGTATCCTCAAATCAGGCAAGGTAAGAATACTTTTCATGAGCACTAGAATATTACATTTAATTACATTTCTGAGAAAGACTGCATAAGGACATGGGAATTTTGCTAGACTGTTTTACCACAACTGCTGCAGTTAAACAACGGCACATTCAAGTCCCTGCTTTCTGAAAGTGAAGACCAGCGCGAGTTAGTTATCATTTTTTAAAACCTTCCTTTAGTCCATTTAGGGGCCCCTACACCAGAGGCAGCCAGACGTTGACACAGAAGAAACTTAGGGTAGCAACCAAATAAAAGGATGCACAAATACTTTATGAAACAAATTTGGCGGCAGACAGAAATGAGGCTCTTAACCACAGCCACGGAGTGACCACCTTTTCTTTCATGAACAGATTCCATCCCCTGCCATTCCTCAACCCTGTTACTCAGCTGGAACAGGGAAAGCTACTAAACCAGAAAAAATGGAAGATGCTCTTGCAGCTGCAAAGGTTTGGTAAAGAATAATAATAACCGCCTCCCCATTATTTCTTGAAAAGGAATAAATTGGTGTATAAAGGTCCCTTCCAGCAGTCCCTTCTCTTACATAGAAACTAGATTTTGTCTCCTGTGGTCACAGTGGATTGCTGTTTCTTCCCATCTCTTCTATATGCTTAGGAAGGATGTAGCTGCCTAATGGCTTCCTCATTGCCTTTTTTATGGGTGGGGTTGCTTTTTGTTATTTGGGAGATGGAGAGTTTGAAACAGCAGCACCCACCACTGCTCATCTTCCCACAGCTTCCATCGTCCTAAACTGTGACTGTTATTCCTGAAGCAGAAACTAGGTAGACCAATATATAAAAATACTACTACAAAAGAAAAGAAATCCACTTGATTAGTCTACTGGAAATACCCCCTAAGCATTTTGTTTTCTTAAATACTGGAGAGAGAAAGAGGGTAATCAAATCTAGCCATTTACAGTCCTAGATGTACAAGGTGATGCCAGCAAGTAGACTGGTATTTTGATTTGACTGGTAGCTAGACGCTCTTGCATCTGCCAATCTGCTGATTTCCATTTCTGCAGAATATTTTTAAAAATTCTTCTTTATCACTTACCTTCTTAATCATCACAAAATAAATCAGCATTGTTCCTTGGTATATCTTTTGAATGACAGTAGTTAATCATTCCATTCTTAGGTCTGTTATGAGTTACTATGGTGCTAGTTCATACACACCTTCCTTTCTTAGTAGAATAATAGAATGCAGTATTATAGACATATCTTGGTTGGTACTGCTATCTACATCTGAAATAAGGCTTTTACTTGCATTATAGTAAACCTCCCTTACCCTCCTTCCCACCCTCAGTTTTAGAAGCTTCTCACTTGAGATAGAAAGAGATGGTGTTTGGTTCCAGCTCAAAAGTACGTGTTTCTAGACAGCTGAAGGAAAATCCATTCTGAACCTCTCGTCTACCGTAAAAAATAAGTCACGTGATTAATCAGAAATGTTGATCACTAATGAGTTAGGACTAAACAAAATCCTTCCTTTCTTCCCTTGTAAATATTGGAAGTTCCTGTTGTGCAACCGGCAAAATATTATATTTTGACATTATGGCTTGGATTACTCTTACCTGACTTTAGGTGACTACAGTTTAGTTAGGTACAGGTGAGCTAGAAGCCTTTTATAATTGCTGAAGAAAAACATACTTCTCTACAGTGTGATTCATCAGACCTATACTAGACATTTACTTTAGGAAGAGACGATTTGTGTCCTAGAATTCTTCAGGTACATAGACTGTAAAAGATGATTAGCCCAGTTGTGAGCATCTATGTTTTACAAATCTAATTATTAGGTGAGATAAGGATTCACAAAATGCATATAAACACACACACACACGCGAACAAACTTTATCACAGTTCCCTTTAGGTAACAGAATTCTGAAACTTAAAACAATTTAAACCAATACCGATTTTAAAAGCATATTTCTACTAACTTTCCCCATCTATTATTACTACACTTCAGAGAATTCTAATAAAAACATTATAGAGTAAATTTTTTACTACTTTGATAGATGGGACTCTGGTTTGCTACTTTGTGTGCAGTTAGCATCACTCTCCACAGCATTATTTACTTGATGCTGTTGGGTGATGGAGTACTGAACTCGATGACAAAGAATATAAAAATATTTGTTAAGTAAGAAACGGAAGCTAGAAGGTAATGATCATGGTAACTGAATATAATACTCAATTATTTTAACCTTTAATAAAAAGCATTGTAAGTTAATGACAGATCTTTAAATTCCAACTCCAGGAATTTATTTAAAGAATGGAAATGAAAAGGACAACATTAAAGAGAGGGTACTTACATTCCAAAGCCAAGGAATGTAGAACTTACTGCTTCTTACAGTAATGATAGTTTACAAACAGATACATATGTATACACAAAATGCACACTGTGTTTTATGATTAGGCAAACAAGTGTATATAAATGCAAGTAGTTTATCAAATAAATTCAGGTTACTTCGATAAATTTTGCTCCTTCATTGTTTGACTTATGTTGATATTGATGACATATAATGTATGCTGCTATTGTTTCAGGTAGTCATTGTTTTGTATAAATACATAAATGGAAATTTCTTTAGTCACTATTACTGATATTAGTGACTATTACTCTGCCATTTGCCAGAGTGAGAGCCTGGACTTTGTATATATATATATATATATGTGTGTGTGTGTTTTTAAATAACAGTCTTACATCCAGCATAACCTCCATACAACTTTTCATTCTCCAATTATAGTTTAGATATGTATATATTTTAATCTTAGAACATCCTGAACTGTTTCCTTTAACAAACAAAAAATACCATCTGTGAGAATGCACATGAAAGCATACTCAGATTTTAATTATACATCTCATGGCAAAATGCATTCAAGAATGGGTCTAGGGACAGACATATAAAATATTCCAAAACCAGAGAGCAATGATTTCTTCTGCATGACTTTGTTTCTGTAAATGAAAATGTGTGAGCTTGGGATTTGTAAAATCTATGACTATCACCACTTTTTTCAAGTTATAAGGAAAAATATTTGCAATACAGTAAAATTTCACATGGTAGCAAACCAGTAATTGAATTTAATTAGATTTACACATCAGTCAATGCTTCCACTTTGAAAAGAAATGTTTTCAGGAACTGAGTGTTCTAACTCAAATTCCTAAACAGGAACGACCTAAGGGCCAAGAAGATGAAAACATAATCACAGTAATATTAGGACAAATTTTAAAAGGCATATGTGACAAATAACACTAGAAAACTGACAAATAAAAATAGAAATGCTTAACTTCTCTAGATGAGTGACATTTCCCTTACTAATTACAAACTGATTTTTTTACAATTGATTGAATAAGTGTTAAGAATTAAAGAAAGTCATCTGTTCAATCTTTTATTATGATCATAATTTAGTTAAAAGACCTTCCAGTTTCTCTTACCTTCTCTTTGCTTCACATGGAAAACTCTACTTTAAATTTCACATAGTAATACATTTCCTAATATCTTAATTTAGAAGAGCTTTTCTCCAATGACACCAATAAATCTCCAGGTTTTAATGTTTAACTCTATTTTCTCATTTTTTACTCCAAGAAAGATGTATTTTATACATTTAATGTATGTTTCTACACATTCACGTTCAACAATCCTGACATTTACACTAACCGAAGTCAAGAAAACACAATATAATGTATACCACATAAAAAACTGCAGAATCTAAATTTATATACAGAAATTTCTTTACAGATCTACATACGTTCTTGTCACATCTTGTTCAATCATTGCTCGAAGCTCTTTATCCTGGAAAAATTTATTCCAAAGACTCTGAAATAAGGAAAAATAACTGTATGAAACAGAGACTTCTACTAATACTTAAGGCTTATGTACTACACCAGCAAAGTACTGTACAAATATTAACTAATTAATCCTCAACATTCCTGGTAGATAGGCATATCAATATTTTATGGGTGAAAAAGAATGTTGGTGACCAGCCTAACGTATCTGAGAAAGTCAGTTTAGATCAGAGATTAAAACATTCAAGTTCCTGGATCCTTGTTCTAGGCTCACTCCATTCACTCACTGGATGGCTGCAGGTCTGAGAGTTACTTGTAGGGGATCTATGAAGAATATTTAGGAAGGCAGAGTAAATTCAAACTTACCGGAACCAGCAGCTCAACTGAAAAAAAAATCAGTAATTCACTCACGGAAAAAGGTCTATATCACCGTACTGTGCTACATTTCTCCTATGAATGTATGGACTCTAACTGGAAGCTGCTATAATTTCCATACTAAGAAATTGTTTGGAAGTAAGCTAGTTTGTCTTAGTGGAGGCAAAATCGAATAAGGAATGTATGATGATCAAATACCTATTACGAAAATGACATCATTCTAATGGTACATACACATAGTACAGATCAAGACTGGCCATTCTAAAAAATTTCTGATAGGGAAAACTGGGGTATTTAAAGCTCACCGTCAACATAAAAAAAAAATTAAATAAAAGAGTTTGAACTAGGTTTAGCTTCTTCTATATCTGTGCTTATGACCATTTCCATTCTTTTTCTTTGGTTTCCATGCCTTGTTTATCTGAAAGAAGTCAGCAAATGTTGTTGTTTGTATGCTCCAGAAAAAGTATTGTAAAGCCTATCTTTATTGTAAAGGGATGGTAGCTTGGCCATATTGATCAAAATGCAGCAGGAACAAAATCTATAGCAGTCTTTTCATGCAGGTTAGTTTTCAGATAGCAGCAGCACCAGTGAATGAAATATCATACAAAGAGAGTGGCTACAATACTTCCAGAATTTCTTGCTCCCCTGTAAACAATTCATTGCCATGGTGGCTTACGCTCCACAGAAAGGAAAGAGAAAGTAAATTAATGTTATCTAGCAGAAGGAAGGTAAAATAACAAAAAAGCAAATGTTAATCAGCTTCTACATTTGTGTTACAAACTATGAAAAAAACCCCAAACTTTAAAAGTATTTATATCCTTGACAATGTCTTAAGTAAAACTAGTATCTTTTTAACGCGCAGCTCTTTTCATGCAGCTAGATCACATATTGAAACTCCCCTGCCCCTGCTCCCACCCCAGTCCATCAGAGCGAAGGACGAAGGAAACAGAATCGTCGAAGGAAACAGAATCGTCATTGCGAAAAGGAAGCAAAACCCAGGACACTGAAAGAGTGAAACATTAAGTCACTGCAGAGGCTCAGAGGCCCTTCGGTCTGCATTCCCACGCCTGGTTTGGCCCATGGCTTTGTTTTATAGATTAATCCCCTGCCACATACTCTGACATGTTAACCTTTGTCTACTATCTCCTAAAGACATCATAGGCAGAAAGAAGGTTGTGCCACCGTGTAAAATCACAAACTGCAGCAGAAACACTTTAAATCTTTTACATTTGACACAACTTTCTGTCCAGCTGGATGCAAGAACTGTTTGGTGGCATACACAGTCATGCTGGCTGCAGAGCCACCAATGTGCCTATGATCAATACTTCCATGTTTCCACAAGCGAACCTATCTCTCCTTCTACGTTAAATATGAAGCAGAGTACCACACTAAATAAAAAAAAAATATGGGCTTCTATTTTTCTGAACAAAATGGAAACACAAGCAGTACCACCAAAGATATCTGTGACGGTCTTTCCAGGTGTAAATCTCTCAAATGCAGCCAAACAAATTATTTTCATGGTATTAAGTTATTTTGAAAACGTGATAAAAAAGAATTTTCAGAAGTGGTAACATAATTAATGGAGAAGCTTAAAGATATGTGCTATAAAATCCCTAAGAGTTTTTCACGTATAATAAAATGCAGCGTAAAAAAAAAAAAAGCCTAAAATTAAGCTCCCAAATCTACACGTAAACCCTCATCAAAGTGCATGACTTCGAAAATACCAAGCTACTAGGAGGTCCCACTAATTTCAGTGAGAGCTGGATGCTCTGCACTTAATGACAGTCAGGCCAAATACTTTTGCCACATTTTCAGTATTTCTTTAAAATCTGGGCCTGTCATTTTGCAGCTGGCTGCTTTCTAGGTAGAAAAGAAACTTTTGTTTCTTTTAACTGTATAAAGAAAAAGAATTAAAAAACTTGGAAGAAATGTGTATCTTGCAGCCTGGTGCTTTAGACAGTAACTCAGCACGTATACAACTCAGATATACAACAATTCTATTTTTGCTGGAGAAAAACTTCCAAGGCTGAACAGTCTTCCAGAGGAGGGTTCTTCAGTATTTGCTGTTAACAGCATTCCCTTCATATTGACTATTTAAACAGTCGTTCAGTTAGAGCCATTTTGCTTATAAAATGAAAACACACAGCAATAAAAAAGCATTTCAGTCAAAGAAAGGATATGCTGTGAAACTGGACTTATAGTCCAGCACTGATTTTTTGTTCATCACAGCCTTCCCTGTGATAAGCCCTGAAAAATCAGAATATTAACCTGGAAATGAGCATTTCTGGTTTTTCAGCAGAGTCTGTGAACCACTGTTAACACAAATCAGTTCGGAAATTTAGGAGGGAGATTTTAGCACCTGCCATTTTTCCTTCTTCAGCAAGAACTCACTGGTGTCTGTATGATGATGATGAGAATTTTACTAGCACATATGTCGATAGAACCAAGGGTCAACTTACCCCCTCGTCCTGAGAGAGAGGGTTGTTGATTATCAGATCTTGCTGTCCTGCTTTCCGAGGGTTTGTAATGTGCTGGGTAAAAACAGAAAAAAAATCAAATCCTCTTCTGTTATATTGTAAGTATTAATACCTATGTCAACACATGAGAGTAGAGAACCTATTTTGTACCAACTTACAATTTCTTTGATCTTATTGTAAGAAGTTCTTAAGTCTGAAGTGGTTTTAATCCATTGACTTCTGTCTTGGGGTAGAACCTCCAGAAATAACTGTCAACAAAACAAAATAAATCCATTAAGTTTAATCAATTTAACATAGCTTTTCATATAAATCCTACCAGACAGCATACACCATCTCAGAAAGGAGGAGCAAGTACTCTACACATAAGGAGAAGAAAGCAAAGACCTATAAAATACCCCTGGCTTTAGTACTTTCCAGTCAATAAATATGAAGCTAGAAACAATAACAGTTCTACAGTGGGAAATAAAGCATTAAAAAAACCTGAGGCCACAAACTCAAGCTCTGTAAACTGTCACAGCTTCAGTGAAGTTGATTGAGACTTTGAAGGCAGAAACAAAATACAAAGAAGACATGAAAATAAATATCTAAAACTAGAAGCTACTTACAAAACACTGATGAGCTAATGCAACACGCTAAAAACCAAACATGAATGCAGAGCAGAAACTAAGCACTCAGAGATATACTCTACCTAAGGAATGTGGAAAGGGAAAATCTTAGTCTATAGAAAAGTAACACGTTCTAGAATTCTGCAAGACAGTTAAAAGAGTCCATTTTGCAAAAAGTCCTTGAGAATGCCTACATCTCAGTTCTTTCACATTTCTGTTTAAAAAGGGTTAGAAAGAAACCTCTATTGGAAAATACTATTTAATCGCATATAAAATAAGGAAAAAAACAGAGTATTTTCTTGCTTTTTAAATGTTTTTATTTACACATTATGAAGTGTTATGAAACAGTAAATACTGACAAACAAAAAAAATTCCCAAATTATTAAAAATACTTAAATATTTCAGAACCTGATGAAAAAATTGCTAATATTTTTTAAATAGGCAGTCTAAACCAGAGCCCTAACCCGTATCGGGACATGCAAATAAACCCAGACTTATTTCTAAAATAAAACCACTCCTTGATTTAAATAGTGGACAGTGAGGGACTGTCCACTTTTTGAGTTATAGCCTCCTAATTTAGAGGCTCAAGAAGAAGCAGACTGGTAAAACAATGCTTGTGGTATATATTCATCTGGCCTCCTGAAGAAAGTATTTTCATTAACTTTAAATTTGTTCAATCATTTTCTTTTTATAGATCTTGGTGCCAAGGTGAAGCTTGAGAAATTCCAAGTGAGGTAATTTCAATTATCAGTGTTAACATACCGCATCTCTACTAGGGAAAATGTTCTCTACTATCAAAGTTAGTGCAGAACAAAAGACCTGATGCCAGTGCAACAGAATTCTTTTGGACTTCATGTAGCATCTCACTATTACTTTGCTTGCTTTCTTCTTCCTTTCCCTGCAACTTTTAGAAAATACAGTAAGAGACCTCTGAGGACCTGCTGTTTTTTACGATTGGAAGACCTGGCTTCCCTCTCTATCCAGTCATTACAAGATGGATTGGTCCTCATTTTCTCAATTCACTGGGAAAAGCTGCTAGCAGAAGTATCAGACTGATTTTAAAGAAGTCCCAAGTTCCACAAAACATAAATTGTGAGACAAACTTCCTTTTTATTTCCAGTGCACAGCTTCACTGCACAGAGACTGAGAAGAGAGATGGCTGTGTGGCACTCAATTCTGAACACATCACCCAGCACAAAGAGATTCTTTCCCAGGAATCTTTTGCTATCACCTGCAATTCAGCTTTAAGGCAACTCAATATGATTAGCAAATGTCCTATGAATTATAAAAATGAGTAGGAAAACATTGGGATGAAGTCTCTTGGAAAATTCATGATTCTTTGCATCAATAATCTTCCAGCGCATCAGGTAATGTGTTGATATGTTGCAACCACAAACTGTAAATAAATATTTTCTCTTCTTACCTTCCAGCAAACACTACGGAACCTGCTGCTTCTCAGCTGCCCATTAATCCCCTTCAGCCGTATAGTTGCCAAGTAATTGTTGTTTACAAATAGTTCTTCCCATTCTTTACTGCGTGCAAAAGCAAAAGGAATGAACATTTAAACAACAACAAAAAAAAGTCTTAGCTGATGTAAGGACTATATGACACTACACAATTTTGGATAAGCAGAGGAAAGGAACTTTTTTTAATGTATATATTTAGTTGTGTACCATTTCTAAACGCATGGCTGTCTTTTTGGACACAGTTCTTCTTTGGATTTAATGAATATGTAGATCGCTATAATTATGCCAGCTACTGAAATTCATAATGTCTATGGAGGCTATTCCATTTCCTCTAAAATGTTGGTACTGCAGTTCAGTGAATAAACAAGAAAAATGAATATTAATATAAGCACATTCCTGTTTCAGCTGTAGACAAAGAAGTACCTATTCCAAAAATATGCAACAGAAAAGTATACTGTTGACTGTATTAGCTCCTCACATGACATATTTGCTTAAATGAACCTTCTTTTCTTCTTAATGTCAAGCTGGGCAGTTAAGCATAATAGAAGATGACTTTCTTTAACATTTAGAGCTATTTACTATTGAAATCACTCCTACTTCTTTCTACATGATCAGTTTTAAAATTTTAACAGGTGCTAGCAAATTTAAAGAAACATCAAAAAATTAAAAAGCCTCACTGTATAAACTGTTAAAGGCAAGCTTGAGTACCTTGCAGTACCTATGGCTGACTAGATAAACAACCTAAATATGCCTCCCAGGCATGCAGGCACCAGGGGCCTAACACCTGTGCCTCATTAATATACAAGTAAATCTGCTCTACTGGGAAACAATTGGAAATTAATTGTCCCAAACCATCTACTGAGTTGAATAAAAGAATTAAATCTATATTTCCTGCACCTTCTACTGAAACGAATCCCAAGAACAGGATAAGGCAACTGATGGTCTTAGTAGCCCAAGACTTGCTCACAGACTTTCTGCAACCACTCTAAAATCCAAAGGGTAATTTCAATGTAAAGAGCTGGGTTATGTGCAAGGAAGTGTGTTTCAGATTTATTTTCAATGCATGTCCTTAAGGTGAACATCTCCCTCTCCCACTGTCACATGGGAGACTATTACTTCTCCCTGGGAGATCAAATGAAACCAGAAAGAGGGAAACTACTATTGTGACTCCAGGGCAAGATCTCACCAGATTTCCTTCGCTAAGGAGGGTCACAGAGTGGGTTATACTAAACACCAACAAACCCTGGTTTTGCAAACTGCCCTAAATATACGCAAGCTACAGTTAGATAGTTTTCAGCCTTTTAAGCTGAGTTGTGAGAGTGACTTTTTTTAAACCTTGTTTTAGATAAAACTTGTTCAGTTTCAGAACAGGATTATATGATACAGTCGCTGGGAATAGCTGGGGAACAGACTTGGCAAGCCAGGAAATTATGGTCCTGTTCCTCTGAGACAGGAGTGAACTTAACAATCCACGCTGAGACCAGAAGCATCGTGTTTGTGAATGCATCACCTTTCAGCTAGGATCGTTTTCTAAAAAAACACGTGTGTACTTCTGGACCTTGATTATTAACTACTTTGAAAAGCGAAGGTACTCCAGGTAAGGACAAAGACAACTAAAGTAGTGTTAGGTTGCAGGGGTTAGGGCTGCTTTCAGCTTCTGCCAACTGCCAATATTCCCAAGTGAGCAAAATAGCAGCAAGTAACTCCAGCAGTGTGGGGCAGCTTCCTTCCTTCCTTCCTGCCACATCCCCCATTCTCCAAGTCAGAAAGACTGCCTGGTCATTTCACTGGCTCCCTACCTCCGATACATCCTCGCCTTCTGCAGTGAGCTGCCTACGATTGTTTACCACAGTTCTGTCTCCTTTAAATACAACGTATGGTATATAGCAGACACAGCTTGAGAAAAATCTGGCCCTTTCTTTCACAGTCATTTATACTTCAGTAACTACAGTATATTATGCCTATCTAAATAACCCTCCTGTTTCTATCATGAATAATATTCTTCGTTTGCCATTGTAAATTTTGTAGCATCATTGGCCATTATAACTACTGCCAAGCTGCCTCCCTAAGGTAGCGATGCTTCAAGAGTGACACATTCCCCTGCGCACACAACAGGTCAGACTCCGAAGCTATTCACATTGTTCTGCAAGCGGATGACATTCCCACAACGTCTTTGAAAATGCCAGTATGTCAGCTGAGTTAGCAAAAGGTTTCAACCAGTGTAACTGTGAATAGGAAGAACAGAGAGGAATGAAACTCTTCAGGTTATTTTTTTCACTAACTGCTCGGAGTGATTGCTACACAGTAAGAAAGTAATTTCAACACTTCTTAAATTGTATTAGTGCGGATACTATGCTTTGTCTTTTTTTTTTTTTTTTTATTTGTAATGCAATTCCAAACATGTTTTGAACAAAATTACATTTAAAACAGCCAAAAGAAATTTGGCAAGATCATATCTTCTCTGCAGCCCCCCTTGGCTGCTGGGATCACTAAAAAGAAAAGTTATGAGCAACTGAAAAAAAAGACTTGGAAGCTGGAATCTGCTTCAGTTTTAATAGAGCTGAATGATACCTAAAATCCTTTCTGAACAGCATTCACTAATTCATTTCTCAAATATTTTGAATGAAGGCTACTAAATTAAGCCTTACAATTCTAGAGACTGTTTCAATAATGAAAAGGTTTCAACCAGTGTAACTGTGAATAGGAAGAACAGAGAGGAATGAAACTCTTCAGGTTATTTTTTTCACTAACTGCTCGGAGTGATTGCTACACAGTAAGAAAGTAATTTCAACACTTCTTAAATTGTTTTAGGGGGGATACTTATGCTTTGTCTTTTTTTTTTTTTTTTAATTTGTAATGCAATTCCAAACATGTTTTGAACAAAATTACATTTAAAACAGCCAAAAGAAATTTGGCAAGATCATATCTTCTCTGCAGCCCCCCTTGGCTGCTGGGATCACTAAAAAGAAAAGTTATGAGCAACTGAAAAAAAAGACTTGGAAGCTGGAATCTGCTTCAGTTTTAATAGAGCTGAATGATACCTAAAATCCTTTCTGAACAGCATTCACTAATTCATTTCTCAAATATTTTGAATGAAGGCTACTAAATTAAGCCTTACAATTCTAGAGACTGTTTCAATAATGGTAACACCGTGTAATATCAACAAGCTATCAATTCTAAAAGGATAATTTTTAAAATCATGTAGCCCTACTCTGTAAACTAATAGCTATGAGCCTTGTTAACCCGGGCTTGCAGAAAACTCATCGGTCAAAGTGAAATGAGCAATGAAGATTGGAACTCAAGTCTACCACATTCCATTTGCTTCACTGAAGTGAAAGACTTCAAGAGCCAATTGGAACCACTTAAACTATGAACAAGCACATGCAATTGTTTTTAATCAAACTAGAAAATTAAATGCATAATCATGTGTTAATACCACTTTTAGGTTGTACAATTAAAATAAAGGCAAATGCCAATGCTAATGTTTTCTGCTTATTTTGTACATTTTTCATTTCATATTCTTATTTAAATATCCTGTCTAATACACTATCGTACATATTGTAAAGTTTTCATAATATAAGGCCTGCATGAGGAAAAAATAATTGGATTAATGTTTCTTTAAGAAACTTAATTTCACATGCTGTATCTATGCAGCAACCGTCCAATGTAAAATATTTATTCGCTTGAGTTAGGGACAGTTGCATTACTTAGAAGTGGGAAAAGTGCTCAATATGTACAAATGAAAAAGCAAGCAAATCAATGGAAAGGACAAAGGTTGCAGATTCATTCTGCAAGGTTTGTTCTTAGTTCTCATCTGTTCCTTTCCATCTTTTGAAACATGCATTTGCGTCATAACTACAAGAGTTTGAATCTGTCTGCAAAAGAATTTTATACTGGGGTCCGCTCTAATACACACACTTTCTTGCTTATAAGAAATGAGTTTGATCTCCTAGCAAACCATATATAAGCATATTTATTCTCCTCTTTCTTTCCAACAGGACGTGTTTTGTGGCTCTGATGCTTGCTAAGACAATTACGAACATTAGATTTTCAGAGATAAAAGTCCAAAGACTTGGAAGAGAAATGTCTCTGATGACACACTGTAAGGAAGAGAGCACAACATGCAGGACTTTACATCAGAAAGTCTAAGTAGAATTTTACATGCACTTAAATACCATTTTTGAAAAGGTATTTAAACCCCTGAGGTCTAGCATCTTAGTAAAAGACACTGGAATGCCACTATGGCACAGCTCTAGAGGAACAAGCAGTTGTAAACTCTTTAAGAGAGTGACACCAATAATGTAACAAGATGCCTAGAAAATAATTCTGGAATTCAAATAGTAGTTCCCAGAGTTTTACTGAGGCAACACTGAGCTGTGGTAGCGCTGGGGAGAGGTAACAAAGACTTTCTTCCACTGATAGCCAGTAGTGGAACATCAGCCTCTGGCTTTGCTGCTAAATTTTGATCTGCAGCATAATGGCAAAACAAATGCATCAGCATAGATACACAGAAGAATGCAACTGTAGCCCACCTAAGCTCATCACAAAATAGATACTCTATTCAGAAGAGGAAGAAATACAATTGAGGAAGAGTGGTACAGCACAGACAGTGATCACCACTAGTTAACTTCCGCATTTACCTATTTACAGGATAAAGCTGCTGAAGTGCACAAATGCAGATCCTTCCAAAGCTTAAAGCTAGTGTAAGAAGCATTTTTGTACCACGATGTTCAGACAACATCAAACTCTGTGGAAGACACTAAAACCCATAGAAATGTAAAAATGTGAATAGCCACATCAAACTACAAACTCTGTCACTGAAAAAGGGCAAAGATTCAGTTCTGGGACTGCAGGGGCTCCAACCTACCAGGTCCATAATATTACTGGACCATAATAATACCAGGTCCATAATTACTGTCCATAATTATTTCACTTTCAGTTGAAACTGCAGGTAACAAAGAAACCAGTATCTACCAGGTCATTAGACAGTGGGTTTAGTTATTTTATCTCATGCATTTTTAAAATATTTTATGCCAAGATTTGAAACCCCTTTTTTTGTGTCCATG